GAAATTACCCCCCCCCGGGGGGGGATGGCCATGCCACAATCCCTTCTCCTCCATTCTCCTCTCAGGATTTTGGGCATGCACATACACATGCTTGATGTGAGTTTTAAGCTTCTGGGTCCAAAACTTGAACCCTAGTCGACTATATGGGAGTCCAGCGACATAACCATTATGTCATCTGCTGGTCCTACTTTTTAAAAAATTTCATATAGCAATTTCTTTTCCAGATAAACTTTCCCTTCACATAAGATAGTCCCACTGTGAATAAAGTCTACCTTCTTACCTTCCTTACTTGCTAACTAACATCTACAGCAAGTGTCATAATTTTCTTTTTTTTCTTTAGCACCTGGCTATAATAGAATACAACAATGGAACAAAGGTTCCATGACTCAGTCCTTCTTGGGGATAAAGATTGTCCACAACGGCACACCCTCAATGAAAAATATGTTTTTGAGCTTTAACTCAAAAGAAGAATAAAAGTAAGAATCAAGGCCAGCCAAAGGTAACCACAAAGAACTGGAACCTTCTTCGCTCGTCAAATCTCCTCTGAGACTGGCCACCAAACTCTGCTGACTCAGGAAAGCATGTTGGTTTCATGAACACTTTTTGCAGAGAGGGTATTATCATCTATATCCAAAAGGAGAATTTCCTTTAAAGTCTGTTTCCTCAAAGTGGACTTTGGCACCTCTGTGGGAGCTTGGCTTACACTCCATGTCCTACATCCCTGGGTACTTAGAGTCTCCTTTAGAGCATCAAGGCTCTGGACCTTCAGTACCTCTGCTGGAACCCTGCCCTCACCTTTACTAGCTGCCTGCTCTAGGCTACATTACGTAGCTTCCTCATCTGCCGACTTCAAGGTTATCATGAAGGTTAAGTGACATAGCTCAAATAGAACACTTAGATGAGGCTTACGGGCTCATACCTAGTCTTGGATGAGTGTTATCATGATCCCTCTCATACCAAATTCTGCCTCCTAATCATATGTTATTCTTATAATTACTGTATAAACAAAGTATATAACGTCTTGTGTATAGAGCACATACACAATAATGCTAACAGGCTTTCACCCAATCCTGTCCCCTCCCTCTCTCCATGAGACTCGTCTCTGCGGTCTCTGCCCACTGTAAACTCTTTCAGAATGACTTATACCTATTGGAACCCTCTTACTAGTATCAAAGACCCTCGCTTTCCAGGGTCAGCGGACGTGTTGCCATTTCCACCCGGCCATGGTGCTGGTGGGGCTGACTACATGCCCCAGGGGCTGGCTCTCATTTTGTGCTGGCTTTGTAAGATCAGCAAAGCTTTATAACTTGCAATTTGGCTGGAATATTATCATTCAATGAAAATACCTAGTAAATTGAAAAAGGAACTATCTCACAACACATCACGGTCTTTAGATGAAGAAAAACACCAAGACCCAGCTCCATGGCCTGGTGATTAAGGTCGCTGGATCCCTCGTTGCCAACCTCAGGGTTTGAGTCCCAGACCAGACAGCTTGAGAAACACTGGGCAAATGTGCATGCAGGCCCAAAATCTCAAAAACAGAAAGCAATGGAGAAGGAACTGCAGTGTGACCATTCCCCATGGAAGCTGCTTTCTCCTCTGTCTCTGTTTCTCTCTGGCAAGGAAGGAAGGAAGAGAGAACACCAAACAATCTGCACTTGAACATGACACATCCATGCAATGCTCTGGAAGCAGTAGTGTTCAGTTCCTGGTAACACAGTAAACTTGGCCAAAGAGGATCAGGTGAGCCGTTACTAGTGTCTGAGCACAGTGCTCTCTCAAGAGAGCATTCTGGGAACCAGCAGTTAGCCTAATGGCTATGTCGCTGGACTCCCACGTAGTCGACCGCGGTTCGTGTCCCGGACCCGGTGGCTTAACACTCACGCCAGGCGCATGTGCGTGCGTGCCCAAGATCCCGAGAGGAGAATGGAGGAGAAGGGATTGCGGCGTGACCATCCCCCCTGGGGGGTGATTTCTCGCTTTCTGTCTCTATGTCTCTCTCTGTCTGTCTGGCGAGCGCATGCGCCCTACAGTGAAAATCTCTCCAAAAAAAAAAAAAAAGAGAGAGCATTCTGCTTCATCCTAATACGTTATTCTTAAAATATTCCTAAGTGCCTTTCATCATCTCAACTGCACTGTGAGGTGACATTAATTACCTTAACATCGCATCTGTAGAAACTGAGCCCTGCGGGGGTTAGGAACTGTGCGGGAGAAATACCATCACAGCCATCCATTGTGCTAGATTGGAATCAGATCTTCTGACCCAGTGTCTTCTAACTCCCAAATGTTTTTTATTCCCCATTTTGTTGTTAGACGAGGGTCTTTACACCAAGAGTAGGGAAACTCAAAACAGGTTAAATCATTCGCTTCTCAACAAAACAGAAGAGGCAAAATTGTTGATGAGAAAGGAAAGGAAAATGTATCACAGCGTGGCTCCACCAGGAAGACACGAAAGAATATCTTTGATCGGTCATTCGATTTAGAGCTGTTTTTATAGGAGAAGGAGGATGCTGTGTGGCTTACAGCCATTGATAGAGAAGCGTAGGAAAACATAGCTCGGGTTAATTTTTAGCTGGGTCACAATCAAATAATTTGTCTTTGGGACAGAAGTTTCGGTCTTAGCTGAGGGATACAATCAAATGATCCATCTTCGAAGACAGGAGTTTCAGCTTGAGGCCGGGAAAGGCATCCCTCAGTGTTCCAAGCTCCAGGTTAGCCATTTGTCTCCTTGGAGTTCTGTGAAAATTTTCAGAGTATCAGGCTGAGAGAAAACCAGTTTTTTATTTTAACAAGATGGAGTCAGTCTAGGTAAGCAGGCACCACGTACAATTTCACTGTTCCTAGTTTTGTGACTGCAGTAGATAATTAGATTTAATATTAAAATTTGTTAATGGGACCAACAGTTGGTGTAACGGCTATGTCGCTGAACTCCCATGTAGTCGACCCGCGGTTCGAGTCCCGGACCCGGTGGCTTAAACTCACTCTGGGTGCATGTGCGCGCATGCTCAAGATCCTGAGAGGAGAATGGAGGAGAAGGGATTGTGGCGTGGCCATACCCCTGGGGGGGGGGTATTTCTAGATTTCTAGCTTTCTGTCTCTCTGTCTCTGTCTTTCTGGCAAGCACATGCACACTATAGCAAAAACCTCTCCAAAAAAAAAAAAATTGTTGTTAATCATTCCACATTTATTATGCAACCTCCAGGTGTGGCTAGTAAGGGAAATTTTTTTCCTTAAGAAAAAGATCTTTGCCCTTAAAGATATTAGTTCGTAATAAAGGAGATGTGGCTGCAAGCAGGAGAAATATAGGCTCTTATAATCAGTATCACTCTAGAATCAAGGAATATGAAGGAACTGCATGGCAATTTATTTTACAGCAGTGAACAAATACCTGCCAAAAAGTGAATCCTTTTTAGGCGTAGTTAATGAAGTCCATATCTGTTACTGCAAAACTAGAGGTCATCCATTCCACTGTTATTGATTGTCCCTGCCTAGCCCATGTTCAGCCTCCCTGTTCTCCAGTTGTGGGTGCAGTCGGTGATCAGCCGCCCCAGCCTTGCTTCAGAGCAACATCCACGTTAGAAAAACCAGTAGTCAAATTTCAAATCATGAGGTTGCCAGGGGGTAAAAGGTGCACACAGAATCTGCATGTGGGCAGACAACTAAATCGTGCATCTAGTAGTTCAGACACGACCAGACAGTGCTCTTGGAGATGGGGGTTCAAGGCATACTGTCAGAAAGTCTCATTTCAAGGCGGGAGGCAGAGGCGATCCGACCCTGATGGAGTGATCAGTGTGGCACAGAGGTGGAAACTCACCGAGTAACTATCTAGAAAGCAGTGCTGGATGTAAATGCCTATCTGCAAAAGGTGGGTGTGACGGGTGCAATCAGCATGTGGACACTGACACCACACACAGTTCAAATCCTGACCAGGCAGCGAGCTGGCTGTTGACTGCCCAAGAGTTACGTAATTATTTTGAGCCTCAGTTTCCTCCTTTGTTAAATTTTTGTTAAATGACTACAAAACCTTTTCAGTCCTGTGAGCTGTAGAGGCCATATCCCAAAAATGCTTGGCATAGAGCAGGCCCTCAACTCAATCCATGGTAATAAAATCGGTGGGGAGAGTTTTTCATTGAACAAGTAGTAAGTGAAACCATACTTTAGAAGGCCATGAATAATCTTGGATTGCAAGTACTATAGGAATGCAAGAGGTTAATGGGAAACTAGTTAAGATGCTTTTTCTGGGACCAGCAGACGGCATAATGGATAGATCACCGGACCCCCTCGGACCCCCTCGTAGTCTGCCTTTTGAATCCTGGACTTGCGGGCTTAAACTCGCCCTGGCGTCTGTGCCTGCGTGCCCAAGATCCCAAGAGAATAGAGAGAAGGGATTGCATCGCGGTCATCCTCTCTGGGGAGGGGGGTCATTTTTCACATTCTGTCTGTCTCTCTGGCGAGCCCACGCGCTCTATAACAAAAATCTCTCCAAAAAAAAGAGATGCTTTTTTGATTGTTTAGATGAGGGGCGATGGGCAGGGCAAGGAGTGGTCGAGGGTCTCTGTAGGTGGAGGCCCCGCAAGCAGGTGTGGGGAGCGGCTTGTGGGGAAGGACGCAAAGACCCCGATGCTGGGGCACCCGCCCAGGACAGAGCCCTCGGGTGCGGGGATCAGAGGCTCGGAAGTGTGCAGCCCAGGCACAGAAGGGGGGATGCGGAGGTGGGCAGAAATGGAGTGTGTGGGGGAAAGGGAGACTGTAAGAAGTTCCCCCACTCCCACTCCGGCTCCCTAAATCTCATTCGAGGGAGAATGTTTTCTGACCCCCCACACACACCAAAAAAAAAAAAAAAAAAAACAAAGTCAGACTCTGCATAAGAAGGGGTCAATGGTCGGCACCCTCCCGGACCGCCCCGGGAGCAGCCCAAAGAAGGCGGAGCACCGCGCTTCCTCGCTCTCTCTGCGTCTTCCAGGCCTCTCCAGAGCGCGGTTCCGCTGGGCGGGACCCGAGGCGACTCCGCCCGGTGACTCCCCGCTCGCTTCTCTCGCGACACTCGCCCCGCAGCTCCACGCCCCTGCACCGCGGCTGCCCCGCGTCCGCAGGAGCGTCCGGACCCCTTCGGCGACAGCATGCTGGGCGTGATCAAGAACTCGCTGTTCGGGAGCGTAGAGACGTGGCCTTGGCAGGTCCTGAGCAAAGGGGACAAGGTAGGCCCGCAGGGCTGCCGAGGATCTGAAGGAGGACTGCCACCCTACCCCCGCCCTGGTCGCGACTGGAGGCGGTTCTGAGGGACAGGAAGCCAGCAGTGTGCCTCGGCACGTGCGATCTGGTTTCTGTCTTGAGCGCCCCCCCCCCAGCGCGGGAGTGGGGCTGAGGATCAGGGGGTCAAAGGTCCCTTGCAGCCGGTCTGAGAGCATAACGGGGGGCGGGGGGGGGGGGGGGAGAGGTGGATTGGGGCGGAGAACCCGAGCTTGGCGAGCTGGACGCCGCCTGTTGAATGCACCCCTTCATGTAAACGTTCTGAACATTTTTTGTCAAGGGACAGCGCGTTGCGGAAATGACTGACAGAGTCCTTGTTGGCCAGAAACTCCGCAGTGCAGGAAGGCTGAATACAAAGGAAAACATCTGGGGCCAACCGCAAGCGTGGGGGTTAAGACCCTGGATCCCACTAGGCTGACTGGCGGTTGGAGTCTGGCCAAGGGCTTGAAAAAATACAGTGCCCATTGGGCCCCCTGTGCATGTGCGCCTAAAATCCTAAGAGGAGTTTGGGATGGAGAAGAGATTGCAGTGTGGCACTCTCCCCCCACCCCCAAGCAGGGTGGGTGATTTCTCACTTTCCCTGTCTGTCTCTTTCTCCCGCAAGTGCAGGTATCCTATGACAAAAATCTAAAAAAAAAGAAAAAAAAGGGCTCGGCCGCAAGGTGGCATGAAGTTTAAGAGCAGGTGGATCCTACATGGCCAACTGCTTGATGCCAGTCCGGGACCACAGCTTGAAAAACATGCACAACATGTGCCGAATCCACAGAAGACAATGTGGGAGAAAAGACTGCGGGCCCCAAAACTTAAAAAAAAAAACAAACAAAAAAGGTGATAGGATATGGGTTTAAAAAAATAAGCCAGCTCCAGCCTATGGCATGGTGCTTAACATGCCTGGAGCCCACACAGCCACCTGCTGGTTCAAGTCCCAGACCTGGCAGCTTGAAAAAACACTCCTGGCATGTTTGTGTGTGTGTGCCCAAAATTCCAAATGGAGGGAGGAATGGAGGAGAAGGGATTTCAGCAGAACTGTGCCTCTTGGGGGTACTTTTGTCACTTTTCCTGTCTCTCTTTCTCTGGCAAACACACATGTCCTCTGACAAGGAAAGAAGAAAGACCAGAAGGAAGGCAGGCTACCCCTAGCCTAGTGTTGAAGAAGAAGGAAGGCAGGCCTGTAGCCTAGTGCTAAGGGGGCTGAATCCCTTGTTGAGGAAGAAGGAAGGAAGACCTGTAGCCTAGTGCTAAGGGGGCTGAATCCCATGCAGCTGACCCAAGTTCGAATCCTGGCCCTGGCAGCTTACAAAAACACACCAAGTGCATGTTCATGCATGCCCAAAGTTCTGACAGGATGCAGAAATGGAGGAGAAGGGATTCACCCCATAGAATGGTGCTTTTTCTGCCTCTCTGGGGAGCACACACACCTACTGTCAATTAAAAACAAAAAAAGAAAAAAAAGAAAGAAAATACTTCTGAGGGCCAGTAGATGGCATTGAGGTTCAGGCAGCTGGATCCCACATGGCCAACAGTTTGGTTTGACTTCCAACTTGACAGCCTGAAAAACATGCCAGGCATGAGTTCGTGCATGCCTAGAGTCCCGAAAGGAGAATGGAGAAGGGATTGCAGCGTGACCATCCCCCCGGGAGGTGCTTTCTCACTTTTCTTCCCTGTCTCTGTCTGTGTCCAGCAAGCACTTGTGCCCTATAGCAAAAACTTTAAAAAAGAAAATACTTGGGACCAGCAGTTAGCGTAATGGCTATGTCGCTGGACTCCCATGTAGTCGACCGCAGTTCGAGTCCTGGACCCGGTGGCTTAAACTCATGCCGGGCGCGTGTGCGTGTGTGCCCAAGATCCCAAGAGGAGAATGGAGGAGAAGGGATTGCGGCGTGGCCATCCCCCCTGGGGGTGATTTCTCGCTTTCTGTCTCTCTCTGTCTTTCTGGCGAGCGCACGCACCCTATAGCAAAAACCTCTCCAAAAAAAAGAAAAGAAAATACTTTTGTTAGCTCTACAATATGTTTGCATTTTAAGACATTATTGCAGAAGAGGTAACAAGTTTAAAAAATGTAAAAGTTTATGAAGTAAAAACATTACACCAAGCTAAGGTTAACTCATTATTCAACGAGAAAGTATTTATTTGTAAATCGAGGGTAGCCTAAGTCCTAGCCTAAGTCCGCAGTTTCTGAAGTGTGTGGTAGTGCTCAGCAGCGCCCTAGGCCTTCACACTCAGTCGTCCACTGACTCACCCCGAGCACCCTCTAGCCCTGCAAGTTCCATTCATGGTAAGCGCCTATTGAGGTGAGTTTTTTTGGCTTGTTTTAATCTTTTACACAGTATTCTAACTGTGCCTTTTCTATATTTAGATACAAAAATACTTAGCATGGTGTCACAGTTGCCTACAGTATTCAGTACAGTAACACATGACAGCTGTAACATGGGACCTCTGTGGCTGTGCCACCCAAGTTTGTGGAAGCGGGCACCGTGTGGTCCCCACGACAGTGAAGTAACCTAATGATGCATTTTTCAGAACATTCCCCCATCATGACTGTATTCTAGTAGTTTCCTGTTAGGTTCCTGTGGATATAGCGTTACCTGCTGCTAACTTGGTGCCTCTAGGGATAAATGCAGCTCGCCAAGGAGCATCATGTTCCCTTCACGTTCGATGGGACATGAGATCGTGCTACCGGGCTGAAGCAAATCACTTACCACAAATGAATATCAGTTTCTGAAGCTGTTAAATAGATATGAAAATGTCCTTTTTGGGACCAGTAGTTGGCATAATGGCTATGTCGCTGGACTCCCATGTAGTTGACTGTGGTTCGAGTCCCAGACCCGGTGGCTTAAACTCATGCCAAGCGCGTGTGCATGTGTGTCCAAGATCCCGAGAGGAAAATGGAGGAGAAGGGATTGTGGCGTGGCCGTTCCCCCGGGGGGGAGGGTGTGATTTCTCACTTTCTGTCTCTCTCTGTCTTTCTGGCAAGCACACACGCCCTATAGCAAAAACCTCTCCAAAACAAACAAAAAAAAAATCCTTTTCCATCTACTCCCAGAGTTACCATAAATATTGCATACTTTAAAAACATTCAAATATTTCATAAACTAGCACCTCTACAAATAATAGTAATATCGTGATGTCAGAACTCATCTTAGCTTCACTCATACTAGCTGGGTGGTCCCTGGCAACTTAACATCTTTGGAACTAATCTTGAGAAAAAAATTGTAGTTCATGTCTTTTTAAAAAAAATTATTTATTTAATTTTTATTTTATTTATTCATTTATTTTAATTTGACCAGAGAGAGACACAGAGGGAAAGTGAGAAAGCAAGCCACCAGGTCTGGGACTCA